ATTCCACAAATTACGTAATGGGGTATTGTTACGTTATTGTAAACTTTGAGGTACCCCGTTCCACAAGGCGATCGTACAAGAGCTCAACGACAGTCGCCAAGTCGTCAAGTCTTTGTTACAGTATGTGAGTTGCGACAAGTAGAGATTGCTGCAGGGCATCAATTGTTCCCCGCCATATAATGTAATATGCATTGGAAGGATGTCTAAGCAATGGGAGGAGAGGATTGGTGTTAAACCCAACTCATTCACTCATTACTCTTGTGTACCGTTCCGTTTTGTTCACTGGTTTTGTGTTGTGATTACTTTCGGTTTAAATTTGAAGTATGTTTATAAGAATGTTACTATGTTCATCCCAAACATCATGAGTGAGTGAGTTGGGTTTAACGCCGCTTTTAACAGTATTCCAGTTATATCACGGCATGTTAACTTAATGTTGGAGGAAAGCCCGAAGTGATGCAGGTCTCAGACGTTTACCACTCCGGTGAAACCAACGAGAACGGGTATGGTGCTCACAAACCTGGAAACATAATTTGGTCTAATCGGGCTTCGAACCCACAATCACAGGTTTCTGGCGTGCCAAACGGACGCAAACATGCTGAATATTTCATGCAACCGTATTATTGTTTAGGAACAATATTGCAAACTTCAGACCAACCTGTTGATTTCCTATGTATCCAGAAGCAAAGAACAATTAACTACAAATTTCCCATATCAAAACCGTTGTTTCACATGTGTTGTTAATTTACCAAAGTCATGCTTATAGAAGCCTGGTATTTAATCGTGTTGAACAATAAGTTGCAATAGCAGTGTGAAGGGAGAAAGATTAAGTTCGCGTTACTTGCTTGACAAAACTCGCTCCCCTGTAATACCAATTTGATGAAACTCATGAATAGTTCTGGCATTGGTATTACTCGGGAGCTCGTTTAGTATTCTATGATATTGTTAAGCAGCTGATCTATTATGAGGTGACAAATCATTTAGGTATGTGGGACTTTCGTTCATGGATATTTTGTATACTGTTTAGTTTTCCGTCTCTCTTTTAGTGGTAGCTAGTCCGTTGCTGAACATAAACTTTCTTTAGGCAAATTTTGTCGAACCTTTAATAATTCTCGCAGCATCAAGATGTATTTATTCAAGCTTATTTTCATTATAGGCAGAACACTTAACCCATATCTCAGATGCGTATTCAAGTAAAGGCCTCATACATTTCAGATAGATTTTGGACTGATTGTATCTATTTAGTTTATATTTAACTTTACGCATAGCTGCAACCAGTTTTGCTGTTGACTAAGCACTAATCGAAACAGTATTCAGTCCATTTCGTATCTTGAGTTAAAATGACGCGAAGGTGTTAATGGGTTTCTACAAGATCAATGGCACTGTTAGCATAACAAACAGATGGATAATGTCATACCTTTGTGGTACTAAGAAGCATCTATTTTGTCTAAGATGGATTAAAATATATAAGCCATGTACTTGTCCACTGATTAATGGAGAGTAGGTCTTGATTTCTTCTTTCTTCCATTAAAACCTTATCAGTAGATGAAGTTCATACACGTGTCATCCATCGGCAAATGAACTGGAAATATTTTCAACCTGTCAGTTATCTCCTGTACGTACAGTAGAAGCACGAAAGGGCCCAGTACATAATCAAGGTGGAGCCCTACCTTGGTGAATTTATTACAAAGTAGACTACCATTAGTAAATAGTCCTTTGCGACGATCTGACATTTAACAATGACAACACGCTAACATGTTACTAGTTATACCATATTGTTGAAGCTTATATACCTTTGCGTCATACCATGTCAAATGCCTTCGAAATATCACAGAATATTAAATTACATTCTTCACGTTTTTATATAAATGTGAATGTATAATTTTGTTTATATTTGCCATAAGCTCGTTTAGTTCATTCTATACAGTTACTAATAACTAATTACCTTTCATGCCAAAGGCAGAGCAGACGTAGCTCACATAGCAAAGCCCACCAGCTATATATTTCTTGTAATTCATTCTACAACTTTTACATTTACAACTTTAATTACCATTATGTCAAGGCCAAGTTAGCAATAGCTCAGTTAGCAAAGCTAATTAATATCAACCATTTGCTGTCGGAAGTGTCTACTCAAAATCAAATCTTTTGTTTTCACAAGCTGTACATTTCTTAATGACCATTGCATAGACACCCCTACTATGTAATAAATGAAATTACCATCGTGTCACGTGGCATTAACCTTTCCTGTCAGTAACTTAATGATTGAAAAGGAATCTTTTAGTCAAGATCATGTATTTCACATCTATAAACTCAAACATTTCCACAGCGGCTGTAAAAACAAACTAATATTAATCTGATGTAATTAACGCAACTTATCATCGTGTCACGCCCATGTGACAACTCCTTCAAGGACATCATTTCCGCCTGTCCAATCAAATTCCTATTAGTAAATTACCTAATCTATTTCAACCAACCAAAGTTGTAATTAAAGAACGCGTTATATCTTTTGGCCAATCAAGAGAATTCCGACGTTGACCAGTGGTGTTTCCAGTACTCCTAGGCTATGAAAAAAGGTCCGTACTTTCATATCAACACATTGAACCTCACCATGAATACTGAAACATCTCTGTGACCGATCACTGACCACTTAAAGAATTCTCCCTTCTACTTTAAGGATAAGATTACAATTTGTTATCACATAAGTAACAGGATGGCAATAATAATAATTCAGGAAAATAAAGATTCAGAAAAACACATGGCAAATATGCAGACCTCGCTTTCGAAATGTATCCAAAGTACCAAGCTGTCCGACTGATGATGACCCAAACCCTCTTTGCTGCATTTTTAATTGTAATCTGTAAATAATGATAATGATAATATTTTGCAACAGAATGTACATATGAAATGTAGATTTTGTAATGAGTTTAATTGGACTGTCCAACACATTGTCAGTGGATGCCCAGCACAAACACAGTATGTTAAGCGACATGTTGGGAGAGGCTCGATCATTTTTTTACCGTCTTCGCAATGCTTGTGGTTTTGACACTGAGGTCCATCCATGGTACGACCCATAATATGTAAAGGGCGTCATGGAAAATGACAAATACAAAATGCTTTGGAAAAGGCCCGTATACAACTTCAGACGTATCCAGCTGTCTTTTTTTTATAAATCCAATGAAATATTTTATATTATTGATTTTAATTTTCTGTCCCGTTTGACACCGATGTGATTCAGGAAAAACATGGCAAATATGCAGACCTCGCTTTCGAAATGTCACGCTTGCGTCCAAAGTACCAAATTGTCCGACTCCCCATTGTTCTCGGTGCCTCAGGTTTGGTACCTCCATATCTGTTGACTGATATTGGGAGAGCACCCGGGTTTGCTACCAGGAATACAGCCCTTCTGACAATCTCGGTAATGCAGAAGGCTGCAGTGTTGGTGAGTCTTCACATTCTCCGAAAAGGTCTGGCTGGGTTCGACTTGGCAGCGCTGTCTGGGCTGCGTGTAGAGGGGGCTAGGGCGCTGAGCTGATGATGAGCCTAACCAACCTGACTGTGCTAGAAACACCAAAACCCTCCTTGCTGCATTTTTTATTTTAATCTGTACACACTAATACCATTTGTTATGCGCTTAACTCCATACACTATGTGAATGCTCACAGCGCTACATAAAGAAGGGGAAAACTCTGCTTATACAAGGCCACAGATACAAGACAAATAGATGTGACTATGGTATTGATTTTAGATTTGATAAAAGTATGACCAGTATTATGATACATTTGATATGTAGTAGGGCCGTAATGTCTGCTGACAAATTTTCTCATATTCTCACAAGAATATTTCGGCCAAATGAGCAGATATCAAATGGCATCAAGGTACTGGATTAGGGTTTTCTGTTCGTTTTTTTAATTATTAGTTTTTCATTGCAATAGGCATGTAGAAATGTTCACACAGGGTATTAAAAGTAACAACAACAGGCTTTGAGTCTTTGACTTAGTTATAACCGTGCCAGCCATTTTCTTTCAAACTCTGCAAAGCTAACATTTGCAGACCTTGAATCTTTAATCGTCCGTCTGTTTTAACTTTTCGGTATATCCATCCATGATTGCAATTTGTGGTGTTTCGGATGAAATCGGCATTTAGTAGAGGGCACTGATTTCGGGATCACCAATTCTATGTATTGGCAACTCATTGGCGTACTGTCTGAGATTGGAATTCTTGACTGTTTGCACATCAAGCAAGGAGTAAAATATACTACAGAACCTTGATCTATTTGTTTCCTTTCTCCCTGTTCAATATGAGAATTTTTTTGTTTTTTTTTGTACTTTTACCACGATAACCTTCACAATTATACTACTGTAAGCAATTACTTATGATTCAATCCTCTTAGAGTCTTAGAGAATAGTTCAAGAGATTAATGAATGTATACACACCTTACAACAACTTCACACACACACTTCTCACATCGTCGTGAAAACAATAACCCTACAAACATTATTATTAATAATACAGGTCTAGACGGGACCAGACATTTCAAGTGATTGATAAACATCTTACAATCCTGAAATAACTGATGAAATTGATGCTGAAAAAGCAAGAGCAGAACACTTACTTGGAATTTATTTTCAGACACATTTTTTGTTCTGGCCAAGTATTATCCATCACACAAATGACCCTGGCGACAGTTCTGTTTGACAATGCCTGTGTCCAACGCGAGGTACTGACCAGCAGCGGAACTTGGCTGTTTCACTAGAAACCAATTGGTTCCCTCTGAAATGAAATCGCTTTTTAATCATCATCGCGAAAAAAAGTTTTAATTTAAAACATTCATGTGTCTGAAAGACTCAAATCTTTTGGGAAACACACACGATATTGCGTACATATACTTTAGCTACACATATTGAAACGATATGCTTCTATCATCGTGAGAGTGAATGTCTGTATTGATCATTTTGTAACGAACGTCATGTGTGTTTGAGAAGATCGATGACAGTGTTCACGGAAACATATGTTCAAACAGTCGGTTGTGGATGAAGTTCTCGAGTCAGGTAATTGCCCAGACCTTCTGTATTACGAACGCTGTAACATATGTATGTTCACACCAATGTTGTGTTTTTGTACAAGTAGATGATATTGTGTTTGTATGTGATTGTGTTTCACTGTCCGGAGGAAGACGAGTACATCATACTTCTACTATTGGCACTCGACGTCTTGTTCTGTTTCAATGTTTTGCACCTGCCAATACACGGCTTCATATGGTACATTGAGTGTTGACATTCTGACCATATAGGGGAAGAATGATAAACATTTGCCGATTTCTAATCCTTTTGAAATCATTCCGACGTATGCTTTCCATATCAAACCTACACGTGTTGTGTACTGCGTGTTCATGTAGTTTTAGTTTTAACAAGACAGCTTTGAATAAAGAGACAAAGTACTTGTGTCAACCAGTGTCTGACTTCGATGTTGCGGAAATGGACAGATAACTTTAGAAGTACTCCTATAGACCACGTAGCGCTTTTGCTTTCGTAGACAGTCATTCATCAATCATTACTTTTGCAAGAAAGTTACTCAAAACCGCAGTGAGAAGAAGAGAATTCCCCCAATACTAATGCAGCAAGCACTGTTTAAATGTATCTATGCACACGTGGTAACGAAATGAAGTTAATCAAAGGTAACTCATACAGGTTTTGAAGTGTAGTGTTGAAAACCGCGATTTGTGAGGCCTGCGACAAACATATGGTGTATTCTGATAACAATGTATTAATATCAGTGTTTTGCAATGACGAGCTGAGAAATGTACAATGTGCTATATAATAACACTTTTCTGTTCCACACGACAGAAATTATCTTTCGACGTCAATTTGGGAAGGGGTAGCCCAGTCGTCAAAGGCGCGGCAATTAGCTATGAAGATACTGTGAATCTGTGACCATGAGTTCGAATCCGGGTTAGCCCTCGTTATGTTTCTATGACTGTCAGCACCATACGCATGCTCTTGGATTTCGTTATTCGTAGTCAGAGACCTGATTCCGTCCACCTAACAGGCCGTGATATAACTGAAATAGGTCAATACCAGCTTTAGCTAAATCACTCAGTCATCGACGTCAAAGTTCATTCAGGCTTCACCCCCCTTGCGTCTATCGTGTGTAAATGCAATATATGTCCTTACGCTACACAAAGTTGTTCACTCAGCTGTATATGTTTAACCTAATACATAGAAATTATTGCGGGAGTGTGTGTTTTTACGATTTTCACTACAGGTGTCAGAATTCGGTTATTTATAATCCAATGGCAGTTAACGCCTTGATTGCTTTAACCAATGACGCTGAATTATAAACGCGTATGTCATCAGTATTGAGATTTCAAGAAAAACACAAAAATTGGAAAGCCGAGTCTGAGATGTTTAGACCACACAATCCTTTTGGTTTTATAGACACATATATCAGCTGTTCATTATTCATTACTTTTACTATGGCTGACAGACGTCTTGTAGTGATCTTGTATACATGACACTCTTTTATGGATAACAAGATATTTATTCTTTGTAACATGTGAACTCCTCACGCGTGTCCTTCCAATGTCTGTGTTTGTGTTAAATTCTTAATGCGTATGCCAACACGTGGCTGTAATTCGGTGTCATTGGTTGTAGCTTCTTGCAGTTCAAACTTTCTGCCGATAATTCTAGCAAATGTACCATCTTTTAACGTCTTTTGGTATGACGCGGCCGTGGATCGAACCCCGGACCTTTCGCTCTCCAGTTGGACGCTCTACCATTAGAACACGGAGGCGATCACATAACATATCGCTGGTCATTGAAATGTCCGTTAACAATGACCAATGACCGTTCACAATGACTGTCATGTGTGATGTCGCCCGACACCATGACACAACCGCCCCCACACCGATCGATGGTCAAGAATTGTTGCCGTGGTATATCGGTCGCCGCTACGTCGCCAACACCGTCTTCTGCCACCTGTGAACCCGAGGCTAAACGCTGATTCGTCTGTAAGCATTGTGTAACGCCAGTGGTGCACATGCCGTCCCTGGTGCTGCCTCCCGCCCCAAGCTTTGCCGTCTATGTTACTCTGTTAGGGTGACACCCTTTACAGGACGCCTTGCTTTCAGCCAGGTTGCATTGAGCCGGTTTTCAACAACAGATGGAGAAATTCGCCTTTCTGCTATTCTGCGGAATTCTCTAGTGATAACAAGAGCAGATTGGAAGCTATTCTGTAGTGCAATTAATGTTATGAGACGATCTTGTCAAGGCAATGAAGATTAGCGGTTAAAGATAGGGTTAACGTACACTTGAGTACACATTGGGAAGGTGGATGCCTTGGTCTCTGTAAATGGCTGGCTTCTTTCTCTGGATATCAACAGTGTTCATTGGTCGGTCATACAGCAAAGTGGTTCTGTGTCATCACTGATTTTCAGTGATCCTTTCATGGTCGGATTCCTTTCATTACATTTTGCGTGGGCGCTGGTGGCCAAGTCGTCTAAGGCGCCACAATCTTCCCTTGGTCACTTCCTTTCCTTGGTCACGCCAGGAAACTTAGGTTGTAGGTTCGAACTCCGGTTCGCCACGATTATGTTTCTCGATTGACAACACCTTACCTTGCTCGTGGGTTTCATTGACTGGAAAATTGTAAATTCAAAGGAGCGTTAAACTCAACTCAATCATTGACTTTTGTTTTTCACGCCCTAAGAAATCTGATACTCGAGACTGACTGTTTTTTGGGGGGGTATATGTTGCATTGAGAACGCATCGTGCATGTGACACGGGTACAAGTTAACATCACCATTTGTAAACATCTCTAAGACCTATTGCTAAAAGTCGTCGAATCATGACAATTATTTACACATTCTACAACGACTTCACAAGACGTGTACAATTCAGTTTTGTTCCACAATGTATATTGACACAAGACTCTATAATGAAAATGGATTCTTCCCCCGGCATTTATCAATATAGTGATAGTTTAGTGTCAATATTCCTCACGAAATTGTGATGCCGTTCAAGTAGATATTCCGTACATAATACATCTAGAACTACTTCTACCTGAACTTTTTGTATTGGCTTTTATGATAGCACTTCATGAATTTTTTAAATATTGGAAAGAGTTTTGTCGATAAACAACAAATTATCGCGAGTGAAAAATATCGATTTAAACACAAATATATTCCTTTTGTATACATACATTGCATGTTTGAATTAACATCAGGATGAAGGGTTTCAGAATTCATTCATGAGTATAGAAGTAAATTTACATTAATGTTTAGTCCTGTTGTTGGAAAGTAATCATGCCGATTATGGATACTTGGGGAACTCATAGTAATATTCGAGGATGTGTAGAGGTCTATAGAGAGGAAAGAATAAACACCTAAATATTTAATTATATTCATCAGCTACTGCAGGGGAGGGACATAGTTGGCATGTTCCTTCTTCTCAAGTGAGTTTTTTTACCATCCACCGGCTTCTACCGGGAATCTATAATTACAAGTTCTAAATCTTAATAGATATGTTTTGGTTAGGTAAGAGGTATTTTTCAAAGAAGACCTTTGGTTTGGTGTACTTGTATAGATTGTCTTTATAAACGAGATATGATATTGCATCGCCATTTTTGAAGAAATTGGTCCTTTAAAGTATCTTCAACACGGGTAGCAGTCAAACATGGAATAATTTCCATCCGCGAAAATTACCCTTGAAAATACTGCTACCACTTGGGTATAATAATCAAATAATCAAAAAATCAAAACACGAGTACATCTAAAGGTGTGCCTATTTCTTTTAAGCCTACATAAATAAATCGAGTAGCAAAGGAAATTATACCTCTCAGTTTATTTTTTAATTGATAATATCTTAAGTTTGCAATAATACATATGATATAAAAAGTGAACTGTATTGGTGCATAGTCAGCACTCAAATATTAATTCTACATGGTTTTATTCATTTTAAATATAATTTGATTTAAATGTTTAAAAGTTAAAAAGACTGTTGATGGATATCTTAGACATCTTATCTTTGAATATCAATTAAATCACAAATTTACATTCCAGACATGGCATAGTGAGTGAGTGAGTGAATATGGTTTTACGCCGCTTTTAGCAATATTCCAGCAATATCACGGCGGGGGACACCAGAAATGGGCTTCACACATTGTACCCATGTCGGGAATCGAACCCGGGTCTTCGGCGTGACGATCGAACGCTTTAACCACTAGGCTACCCGACCGCCCCCAGACATGGTAGAGGTTATGTGGTAGACTAACATCTAGTCTCTGAAATGAACATATCGTACATAAAAAAAAACCAGTTGTTCAGTTATCTTAATAAAAATATAATAAAAAGGAGCCCAGTGACTCTCTTCATTTTCAGACTGCAGTGATCTAGACTTGCCAAACATTATAGACTTGCATGGGCTGTATTTGATATATATTTGTATCAGGGTCTGTAAGACAGACTAGTTATGTGGTTGCAAATTCATTTATTAACCTTGTCTTAATTGAACCAATTTATTTTTACACAAAATTATCCAGCCACAGATTACTTTATACTGTTGAAGGAATGAGTTTTGGTTAAATGGACATAATCAAACTTCTTTCAATGTTCAATTATATAAAAACAACCTCGGTGAACTTTACTTTGCTCCTCTCTTAACATTGCAAAAATGGTTGAGAATGTGAAACGACCTTTGATCTTGACATTGAGAATAATTAAAATAGCAATTAATGTCTGTAACTAGCTTTTTCATGACTGGCATCCTGTTTAGGTATCATAAACAACCCTCTGCCTTCGGTTCTGTTCCACACAATGAATGTACAAATTATTGGCATAAGTTGTGGAAACGGTCATCTAACGGTTGAGCAGACATAAAAAAGCCCCGTAAAGCGATTAAAGAGTCAATGGCCGAAGCAGGCCGACTGGGTGCCTCCCTTTGTCCTTTAAACATTGTTGTTCAAGTACACGTCTTCACTTGGACAGGATCAATACTGCAGCGGAATGTTAAGCACGCTTATACTTCAAATAATGATCAACTCTTGAACCTGAATACATACAATTATCATTCTATAAGGCTCACTCCCGAGTTGCATGACGAAATAATCACACGGCATCCACCACACGCCTCCAGTCTGTTACCTTCTTCATCACAAAGTAAGTGTTTATGGCAAACTGACTACATTGCGGCTGATGGGGACACGTGTAAACATAGCGGAGAAGCAAAAACATGAAGTGAAGAAGTCATCTACTCAAAAGTATCTATAGACGAACGATCTTGTATATAACAGTCAGAATTGTGTGCATTATTTCGAAGATCCATTGGGAAATACTGGTTGTGTCCACATTAATGCTGGCTTTTTTTACATTATTGAAGTAATATATATAGGTAGGAAGGATCTCTTAAGATACATATTACACCTATACACGAACACCTCGTATGGGACCCGTGAAGATCCGTGGTAGAATAGGTCTTCAGGATCCCATGCTTGCCGTAAAAGGCGACTACGCTTGTCGCAAGAGGCGACTAACGGGATCGTGTGGTCAAGATCGCTGATTTGGTTGAAGCATGTCATCGATACCAATTGCGTGTATCGATGCTCATGATATCAATCACTGGATTGTCTTGTCCAGACTCGATTATTTACAGACAGCCGTCATATAGCTGGAATATTGATGAGTATGCCGTAAAACAACAAACCAACCAACCTCTTATGATCACTATTTAAGAGTGATTCATAAACGCATGTTTTTGATATAGTCGGAAATATACAATAGACTCTACATTTAGCAGAGACATCTTATGGTGATAGAAGAGGCAGTTGGGTAGCGTAGTGGTTAAAGCGTTCGCTCGTCACGCCGACGACCCGGGTTCGATTCCCCACATGGGTATAATGTGAGAATCCCATTTCTGGTGTCCCCCGCCGTGCTAGTGCTGGAATATTACTAAAAGCGGCGTAAAACCATACTAACCCACAACAGGCTATTGTCGGAGCTTCTTTGATCCAAAAATGTAGCATTCTTAGAAAATAGGTATATTAAGTGGTATTGAATTTATTCTTATTTTTTGCACATTAAATAGGTATAAACAGAGATCACTTGTTTGTGAATTTTGAGAGTTCATAATATTTATGAATTCATGAAAAATATAACACTTTAAACTAAAATATTTCATTTAAATTATGTAAATAGCCGAATCTGTGCATTAAATGAAACGTTCTGCTGCGTAACGTGAACCTAAGTTTATGTGCTTGCACCTTGGCACTCACAAGTAAAATGTCATCATGGCCCTGTGCCGGTTCCGGGAAACTGCGTTCACATGATGTACAATCCAGTATAATTTATATAGTTGTTTACCCGTTACCCTGTTGATGAAGCTAAAAAAACAACAGATATATATTAACAGCATGGTGAGACATGTACTCTTTCAAATCCATGTGCTATTCTCCTTCATTAAGAATAACCTGCCACAAAAAATAACACGTCTTTTGTTGGGCGACGTTATTAATAACACCGCTTCTATGGAACTGGTATTGACGTTTCATCATCAATATTGTTATCAGACCATAAGATCGTGCAAATGGAAGAAAAAGTAAGCATCAAATGTTAAGCAACTACTTCAGCTGGCATCTACTCCAGGTCGTTTTTTGCATGGACATGTTTATCTGCATGCCTCAAAACACACGTACATGTACACGTACTTTCAGAAATGACAATCGCCTTTTTCTCTCCCGCTTCGTCTCATGTTGCAATCCATTATTTCGTCAATAAATATTGTATCATTACCGAGCATGTTTGAAAGATGGGAACGGTATTCCTAAACTCTTTGTCATTTAAACTCGCTGTTCAAATGAAAAATGGGATTTAGAGTGCAGTTTTGGGCGCAGGGTGCGTTTATTTCCAACCAGGCCAGAGGTGCTCGCGACCAGCAAACATTACTGCCTGCTCTCCGCACACGCGTTGAGAACGCATTGTCCACGTGGTCCACTTGACGCTACGGCTGAAAATAGTGTGCAGGGCGTGTACAACTCGTGAAGCACTCAATTGCAACGGGCGTGCTATGCATGAAACGCCGAACCGGGTTTCAGTTGAACATAAAAATCAATATCAAATGATTCGTGAGATGAAACAACACAGTACGAAGTGAATCGTGGGTTAATGAAGTTGCACCAGGTCATAACGACCATAGACGACTATATATATATAATATAAACAAGTGATTTCATCAGGTGTATAAGTATTAAATATACAAAAAACATCAGAGTTCAGTTAGTGCTCTTCAAAACTCAAGATCTTTCGGCTCTTTGTAGTGCTAGGCGACGCACAACAGTAGTACGTGTGGCGTCATAATGCCTATGATGTAACAGTGACAACAGAAGGAGAAGTAAAATGTAGTCCCAGAAGACAGCCAAGGTTATGCTTTTGACGTCATTAAGCAATTGACGTCATAGCTAGTGATAATAGTGGGAGGCGTGAATACATTTAAGAATTGACTTTCACTTTGTGTGAGTTCATTGGAGTATGAACCTTCATGGAGTGAGGGCCAAACTGTATGAACGTAGGAGCTTGCAAAGTGAAAGTCAATTCTTATAAAAAAAATTATCACCATTTCTTACCTCAAAGGATGTAGGCCAAGATCTAAACACAATTTTATTTAATTCGTGTGACTTCATGTTTACACTGACAGCCATACAACAACCAGCTATATCGCGGAGTGAAATAGTTCCTCAAAAAGAGAGGTGACATGAGCGTATGGATGCACAAATTATCCTCATTAGATGAGAAAGTTCTTTAAAGAACTAACTCATGATCAGTAGTAAGTCAGTCACAATGACAGCGCGTCGTAATACATTTACATCAAGTACAAAACGTCAAAATGGCCGACACGATAAATGTGACGTGAGAGATTTCCGATGTTGTTAATGAACCTGTGGCGGTTACATGTGTTTGTCATCCATGATCAACTGGCTGATTATTGAAAGGTGAATGAAGATGCGTCAAACAGACACTAAGGTAAATTCATAGATTGCTGGAGAGGGTCAGTGTCAGCCTAGACACGGATCGAGTCGATACTACGACAGTTTAGATGTGCATTTCTTCGTTTGTTCATTAGGATGGGCCGTAGCGAGGAAATTCGTGAACAATCATGCAGTCACGCTCTCTGACATTTCCCAACGTATACTGAAACGCTGAGACCAAGATTAAAGGTTCTAAATGATCAGAAAGAACGCTCATGTATGTTTTAGTGTTAGGGAATATCCAGGGGTTTCCAAAGGAATGTGGAAGTAGTCCGTCAGTGTTTACGTCATTTCAAGAACATGGTCTCATGAAAAACGTATGAACGTCAAATTGTGTCGTTCATACACTTATGAACGTCAATTTCGCGGTCATGTGACCGACCTCTCATCCAATGGAAAAGCCGTATATCGTGTAAACTTCAATTTAAAAAAGTATTATGTTGTAAGTGCACAAATACACATTGCGCTACATTTGGAGGTTTTCAAAATTATACTTTTGAATTAAGTTTTGGTTTCAAAAGCCTAGTGAACATCTATTCTTTGTCATTGTTGAACAATTTATAAAACGGAAAGACCACCAAAATGTGAGTATTTGATGGACAAAGAATGTGTTTGAGATTTTTGGCTGTCTGGTGGTGCGTATAAGTTTACACTTAGATAAACATGTTTTCATAGTTTTACTTTGCTGTAAAATTGGAAGATTGGCTTTTATAAGGGGCATAATTTTACAGTTTCTAGGATTGTAGGTACACAAAGATGGAAGAATGTCCGTGTCTGTATCTGTTTCTTTTGTTTTCATTAATGATTCTTTAGGAATTTTCAGAAATTTGGTTTATTTACAGCGTCTTTAACCACTCCACATGGATATCCTTGTAGTTGGAGATATTTCTTTAATTCTTCTAATCTTCGGTTTCTTGTGTCCACATCCGAAACAATAGTTCACACTCTTCTTGCCATCGAATATGGAATATTATTTTTTGTGTGCCGCGGATGACATGAATTGAATTGTAGGTACTGATGCGTGTCAACCGGCTTGTAGTAAATATCCGTTTTCACCTCCTTGCTAAATCATTTTTACGTCCAAAACTTAAATCTCATTGTTGTCATATTCCATAGTGAATGAAATCAGAGGATGGGTCGAATCCAGAATCTTCCGGAAATTGTGTAACTCTTTCACTGTTGAGAACCAAATAATAAAAAAAACAGTCGTCCAGATATCTTCTCCATGTTTCACGAATATGTTTAACAAGTGGTATTTTATGTTAAGTTGAATTTACATTTACATTGATTTTACTTACCTATTTCAATTTCAAATGTGTTTATTCATGTCAAACTGAGAGGCCACATGCCCATAGTTCAACATATTTACATTATGCAATATTTTGTAATAATGTAATATTTGAGGTTGACATGAGCATGAAACAAAACAAATTGATATTTGTATAAGATCTAAACTTCTTTTGAAAATATTTGTAGATTGTAGATAGTGTTCACACGCAAACCTAAAATTATCATTTTCTAGAACATGAAGATTACAAGATGTACAGATACTGTTAGATTTTTAAGTATGCCTTTTTATCGTAATAACCTGCTCTGAATTGAGCTGGCGAGATTCGAATCTTTCCGATTGTAGATATTTCTTGAGTATATATTGGTGTTTGAAGCGATAGGTATATGTACAGTGTCCAGTTATCATTGCTACGTGTCATACATGAATATTGTAGCTGTTCATGTACTACTTCAATGTACCACTGCGAGTGGTTTTGGCACATAAAGACCTTAAACCTGAGGTAGGATGGAGGTTCGAACCCCAACTGCGCGTTTGCAAGCCTGAACGTTTTCGACACAATCATATTTTCCATAACTCATATTTCTGATCCATAAAGTTAAATTTGCATTATCTTTGTTTCAAAAATTTAAAAGTATAACTTACAGAGCAGATTATCATATTTTAACAATATTTGCAGGATTTATAAGCAGTAGGAGATTGCAGATAGTCATTTCAACTCAAAATCCTGGTCAACAATATTCGAAGGTAAGTATAATATGAAACTACCTCTCCATATACATCTTTGTATATCCATTTCTCTAATTTTGATAATTTCCCACTGTTGATAAAAAAAACACAAGACCCTTAGTTCTTTTTAGATTGACGGACACTGACCACTTGTCACCATAATTTTCCGAAGTGTTGATTTGACGTTATAACTGACGATATAACTGTATGTCATATTTTGATTTTGAGTTAATTCCAATTTTTTATCAAAAAACATATAAACAATGGACTACTTAATACACAGCCCTGACGCACTCCCCAAGGGAAATCAAACATACGTTTCAGAATAAATCAATTGATGTGTACACAAGCTAACTGACATGCAAATGGCTTTTAAGTATTTGCTATCTTTGATGCCCACAGATATTTACCCAATAAATGCCAATTTTTTTTTGTTGAACGAATGAAATGATTTTACGCAGTCGATAATCTGCAATTCTGAACATGTCTTTGAAATAATCGTACCAAGTCTCTTAATTTATGTTATATTTATGCTTAGCAGTACCTGATAAAGCTTGAACTTTGTGCCAGAATGTTTTGGAATCCTTCATTGAATTTATCATTTCAGATTGACTTTTATTCTCGAAAGTAAATCCAAAATACAGCTTGATACAGTGACTTGTTTCTTGCAGAAAGATAGTGCAGTTTATTCTGCTGGAGAAGTTGTGCACTATCATATGTAACTGGGGTTTTGAGTTTTCTAACGTAGAACCTTACATTGAAGGTAGATACCCTGTACATTGGCAATATTTGCGGGGATGCTCGAAAATTGGTGATATAATATTCCGCCGATTGATGTAAAAATTGAGTCAAGTGAATATTTGAGCACGAATGCAACTTTTGTATTCTTTGCCACTTTTGATTTCAAATTGGGAACAGTTCAGAAAAAAACAGCATTCTTTTGATAATTACCATATTCTCGCTAGTATAATCCGTATATGCATTGTTGCTATTAGAACATACAGAAACACGCTCATTAAGTGAGATCCTAATGTGTAGATATTGTACATATTTTCTTTAATTTTGTTAACGATATTTAGTTTGTTTATGAATACACGTACATGATGTTAGTCGTCAAATACTGACATGAGCAACAACATTAAGCAACGTAAACATGCATCAAAGTGTATAGAGAAAATGGTGGAAACAAATTGAAATATATTTTAATAAAAACATATTGTACTAAACAACTTACCCTTCGCACAAGCCGTTCACAATGAGTGAGTTAGTGAGTATGGTTTTACGCTGCTTTTCGCAATATGTCAGTAATATCACAGCGGGGGACACCAGAAATGGGCTTCACACATTGTACCCATTTCGGGAATCGAACCCGGGTCTTCGGCGTGACGAGAGAACGCTTAAACCACTAGGCTACCCAACCGCCCCTTTCACACGGATAGGATATTGCATAGCCGAACACAAGCTTGTTTGACTGTTTTGAGTTGTTGTAGACTGACGAATAGCAAGTGTTGTTCATGCTATGCGCATGCTTCCATATGCCCTTCACATATACCACCTGTGTGAAGCATTAAGCAGCTGAGAACTGGGAACGTGCATTCACACACGGAAGCAATATAATTCTTATGTGTAAGCCCTTTCCTATGAAAAATGTAACACTAACGTATTTTTAATTGTAGTAAATATAGTAATGAATACAACTTGGTAATTCAACGTTACTCGGGATGTCTCCGATAGATAGGACTTTTATGTTTATTGACTACATTGATTAACAGAGATTACGTACACCAAGTCACTTTCTCTAATTCATCTGCTAATTAAAATTTGTAATAATTGTAATGTAATAGCACGGATGCTAAAATATAGCTGTTGTTTTATCGGGTATTAATAGTTGATTCGTCTAGCCATACATTTGACTATTCATACCCGGTCGAACGTTAGGCACAACACATTCGAGCAGAGAGTTATTTTTTAAAAATATATTATATACATGTATTGTTAATTGTAGTAGATACTTAAATCACTGTATCTCAGAACACAGCACTGATAACATCCAAACTTGTACTTAGTACACAGAGAATTGTTACATATCATTTCCTGTATATTCCTGCTTGAACACAGAATTCCTGCCATTTGTCGGAATCAGTCATGTAGGTATCTTCGTTAATCCAAAGCAAAGACTAAATAAATAAGTGTTCACCACATTAGAATCTGAAACGCCACTACTACTGTTCTTATAAATGTAAAGACTTAAAGGAACTTGGTAGGCTCTTAAACAGTTATATATACAGAATTCAAGTCATATACAGCATGTATACAGAATACGATCAGAACTCGCATTAACTTATTGTGTTGAACAAACATCAATACAAGCAATGCCACTCACACGACCCCAAGTCTGTATGTGTGTTTGCTTGTTTAACGCTGCACTAGTGGTTTATCATGAGCATCGATCCACGCAACTGGGATACGATGACATGCATCAACCTGGCAGCGAGCCTGAACCCCCGATCCCAATAGTCGCCTCTTACGAGAATCATGGGTTGCTGAGGACCAATTCTAACCCGGATCACCACAGGTTAAGTCCGCATGCCCTCCCAGGTATGTATGTATCCATACGTGAAGATCGGGGGTAGGATAGGTCTTCAGCAACTCATGCTTGCCGTAAAAGGCGACTATGCTTGTCGTAAAAGGCGACTAACGGGATCGGGTGGTCAGGCTCGCTGACTTGGTTGATGCATGTCATCGGTCCTAATTGCGTGGATCGATGTTCTTGATATCAATCACTGGATTGTCTGGTCCAGACTCGATTATTTACAGTCCGCCATCATATAGCTGGAATATTGCCGAGTGCGGCGTTAAACAACAAACAAACAAACAAACAAACAAACTTGCAGACATGCATCACCGCCCTCCTCCCCATATATATAACATACACATCCATTTCACTAAATCTACGCCACCCGTCGTATATGCGTACTCATACTTCATACATACACCACACACCTCGCATCACTCCCCACCACATCCCTACATCCATCATTCTCTATCTACCTCATCCCTCGTTTATCCGTACTCAGCATAGACCCATCGATATTGATACAACAGTTTACGTTATTGATATCGTCAACCAAGTCATCAATAAAAACAGAGAATAACGTCGGCGACAACACGCAACCTTGCTTTACACCGGGGTCGTCCATCTAGCCGGTTTCTTTGATACGCCGACAGATAACCGTATGTTGTCATAAGCATGTGCTTCTTTGATGTACAGACTATAGTCTGTATGGAATATAACCACGTTATGAAATGCCATTTATTATTGATATGCTGTACATTTATACATGTATACATCAATACAAATTCTTTTAAATCAGACCTTCAATTCTCAATTCAGTAAGATCAGTACCAAGTTAAATGTGAGCCGGCATGACCATTAAAAAAGCATCATGATCAGTTAATTGACCGCTTACAGAAACTCTTGAGCGATTATTTACATTCACCGATTACATAAAAGCTACGAAGAAACTGTTATGTACACTTTTGCAGGTAATACCAGAGACGTTAACGATCAATTCGATCGAAAGCTTTCATTGTGTGATGATGCAAACAAAAGCAGAACGTGTATATGTTTCTTTGCTTGTTTGTTTGTTGTTTAACGCCGCACTCAGCAATATTCCAGCTATATCACGGCGGTCTGTGAATAATCGAGTCTGGACCAGACAATCCAGTGATTGACATCATGAGCATCGATCCACGCAATGGGGATCGATGATATGCTTCAACCAAGTCAGCGAGCCTGACCACCCGATCCCGTTAATCGCCTCTTACGACAAGCATAGTCGCGTTTTATGGCATGGGTTGCTGAAGACCTATTCTATCCCGGATCTTCACAGGACGAACGTTTAGATAGCTCGCGGTTGGTGATCATAGACTATAACGTTTACATTATGGATAAGTTTTCTTCCACACTTAAAGGCCACATGCTCATAGGACAATTCTTTTTCGGGAGTGTTTGCAAATGTTTTTAACATTTGATATTCTAATTAACAGACATGATAAATGAACATTAATATCATTTTAAGATTACAATTGTCAGTTGTTGACATGATCGATAAACATTTTTGTTAAGTGGGATGTACATAAAAAAGGCAGTTCTATATTACGTCTGTGGACAATCTAACAGAATCTCATCTTCAATAACATTTAAATCACATTGATCACAAATTCTCCATTCTCTAGCTAAGTGTCTAGGTCTGTCGTCCTCAATCATTATTCTATGATAGCTGCATCTAAATTTTGTTGAGCCATTCTAAATCTAACACTGACAATAATATCATGGGGTAATATGTGTTTTAAATAGCTTTTAATCATTACATTTGATTTAACTTGAAACATGCGTTGACCATTTTTGTGAGAAGATATCCTTAAGCTCTTGACGTACAGATAATATGAACGAATCTGGATTATTGGGTACACCTTGAGTGTGCCAAACATATCAAGAACCGCATTTATTTAATAACGATCGCACATCATGTGCCCAATTCCATGTTTATCATAATATATAAATAACATTATTATAACATATCTAACAATAGATATCTTGAACCAATATACATGTACAGTAAACTACGTTTATAACGAACACGCTTATAACGAACTGACCGATATAACGAACTTATTTTTTAGTCCCGGCCATTTAATGAATATGTGCATATGCATATAACGAACAACGGTTATTACGAACTACAATTAGTGATCCCCTTTGAGTTCGTTAATACCGTAGTTTACTGTACTTAAGAATTCTAATATATTGAAATATGTAAAGTGGTATACGTCCACACTCATCATACTCAACCTTCCACCCTGCTCCACATTAAAGAATCAAATATTTCATGAAAAGGTTTTATAAGATCAGTGACAGTTTTTAAAATATGTAAGATACGCATGAGTATCCTTTTGCCTGCATTGCTGCATTACTGGTGTGAGGTGAGGTGAAATGGGGTTTAACGTCGCGTCCA